GTTCTAGACCGTTTGGACTCTGCTCGTAGCTACCCATTTTGTTTATAGTGGTTGCCAATAACTACCATTCGTAACTCCCACCACCACGTTTTCTCCATAACCGCTTGTCACTAATTTTCTCAAATCGTAGGATATAATCGTGATGTGCTCAAATCGCCTTAAACCGTGACTTTTAGATAACCACAGGGTTTAGTCATCGTTAAGATTTTGGGCGATCCAGCAATTTGGGCGACGACTCTTTTGCTCTGGGCGTCCATAGGGTATTTTATTCGCTCAACATCTGAGCGTTCTGCAAGCTTGGACGACGACGTTCCTTTGTTTGTGGGCTTCTTACCCTTTGCTTGGACTTTCATCTTGAATTCTCAACTGGGTTTTGCTCTTTGGACCATTTAATTTGGGCTGCACTTTTAGTGCGTCACAACTGCAGATGCCATTAAGATAGAGGCATTGGGTGCATCCAAGCGGCGTGCCGCTGATGATTTTATGGTTTGGTGGATCTTGGATAGATATTAAACCTCTATACTCGAGGATAAAAGAAGAGACTAGACACTTTTATGAAGCTTATGAAGAAGTTGCGACTTTTTTAGATTTTGGTTCGATCGTAAATTTTATATGACCGCCTTTAGGTAACAAGTTCAAAATGGACAAAGAGTCAGAGTGATAATGAACAAGTCTATAGCGTGTGAACTGTGAAGTGTTATTGTTTAACTTCTTAGTATACTCCGTTTGAATGAAGTTATGTTTCTTTTTTGTTCTATGTTGAATTTCTTCATTAATAATATATGTCACAAGATTATTTTTTGAGGAAAAGAAAAAGGACAGCTTCCAATAAGCCTTTACCCCTTTCAATTCTTGAAAAGCAGCCTCACATTTTGCTTTGTACCATGTGACAAATGACACTCGGCAAGTTGCCTAGTTTCAAGCCACACGGTATTCAATTATGGGGTACATAATATTTCAATGGTGCCCATAATGAATATATGTAGGCTCCCTATTGGGTGGCGTCTGCGTGCCATGCTATGGGTACATAGCATTTTTCATAATGATGTCCATAATGAATACATGGATGACCCCTAATGTGTCCATTATGGACAGTATTATGTTATGAGTTATGTATCCATGAGATATGCTACTTGTACATAAT